GGCTCAGCTTACAAATTCACAAGTTAAAGCCAAAGGTGAAGGTATGTAGGAACACTTCCCTATAAGAGACCTTTGTCCTCAAAAGGTGGTCTAGGAATCACTGTATGAGAGTCCCTGGCTTGGCTTCAGGAGTTCAGGAGTTTCTTCAGGCTTCTTCCTCAAGGATCCATGGCCTCCTGAGATCAGTTCAAGATGCCATTCTGGTATAAAGATACCCTTTTTTCCTCAAAGTGAAGGCATACAGTGCTGACTCTGCTGAATGTTTAGCCTACAGAAGGCCCAGGGTTTATTTTGAACCACCCAAAGACTGACATGCAGGGTTAGAAAAACCACTGAAACCTCCTGTTGTCAAGTACAGACCATAAAGGGTCATCGGAAGAAGGCAAGGAGAACTAGAAATCGATATATAAAGTAAAAGTCATGAGGCACAGTTACTATTTATAGTTCAGGGGCTACAAGATACCACACTCTACAAAGTGTACAAGTTACAGTCAAGATGGCAGATAGGTAAACATAGTACTCACCTCCTTCCACAACCACATCAAAACTATAGAAACTAAAGTATAAAACAACCATTACTGAAAAATCTAGCCGAACGGAAGTCCTACAACTAAGGATATAAAGAAAAAGCCACTGGTAGAAGGGGCAGAGATGCAGAATGGGCTGGTCCCACACTCACACGTGGTGAATAAATGTCAAGAGGAGTGAGGTGTCCCAGCTCCACCAGGCCCCCCAGCCCAGGGTCCCAGTGCCAGGAAGATAAGTCCCCATAACTTCGGGCTGTGGAAACCAGCGGGGATTGTGACTGAGGGACACGAAGGGCTGCTGGAGTTCCAGGCGTTCATCTCAAAGAACCCATCCATGGACTTACTCATAGGTTCTGAACCCCAGCTCTGGGGCCAAAGCTTCAAAGACATGTCAGGGACGTATAGGGAGAAATTGAATTGTCTAGCTTTCGGGGCAAGGGCTGAAAGGCCAGCTTTCTCCAAGACAGAAGGGCTGGTAAAAACCCTTGTTCCTTTGCTGAGACCTCCTCTTACAGAGCCAGCAGCCCCATATCTGAGTATCCACCAACCTGGCTCACACTTGTTAGTCCCACCCTGAGACCCTGATTCCCTGAGACCCCCATCCCACCCAACTTGCATGCTCACCCAAGCCCTTTTCAGTGGCTTTTCCATACAAACAACCTGTCTTGGCTCATGCTTCAAACTTTCCTAAACTCTCTCAATGATTCACAAACCCCAAACAAGCAGCATCTGGCCTCAGTGTGCCCCATCCTCTTGCTAAGTGGCCCCAGGCCTGGCACTAGTGGTAGCTGGCCTTGGTTCGCAGCTTGGCCTCTCCTGGGCACCTCCAACCCCAGCACAACTAACAACCATCACTTTGTAGCTCATGCCAGGTGGCCCTGGGAAGGGCACAGGCAAAAGCTGATCTCAGCCTGCACCTCCTGAGAGGCACCAGAGCCAGTGTACCTGGTGGCCAACTTCAGACTCTGGAGCACCACCAAACCACCTCCACCAAAGACACACTCAAGAGGCAGGTTCATTGGGTACCAGAGCCCTGCTGAAATGAGTCTTGCTCTGTAGGATCCTCTGCTGTGGCTGCAGCCAGTCCTCATAGCCAGTTGGCCTGGGGGTAAATCCCTTCCAATGGCTTTCCAACAGCAATCAAGGCTCAACTACAACAGGAGGGTGCACACAGCCCACGCAGGGGGCACACCTGGATGACTGGGCAGGCTGTGCCACTGGGCCCTACAAGACACCTACTACATAGGGCTACTCTACCAAGACTGGGAGACCTAGCAGATCTACCTAATACAAAGAAACAAACACAGGGAGGCTACCAAAATGAGGAAGAAAGAAACATGTCTCAAATGAAAGAACAGAACAAAACTCCACAAAAAAAACTAAACAAAACAGAGACAAGCAATCTACCAGATGCAGAGTTCAAAACACTGGTTATAAAGATGCTCAACCATTTCAGTGAGAACTTCAACAAAGAGATAGGAAACATAAAGAACCAATCAGAAATGAAGAATACAATAACTGAAATGAAGAATACGTTACAGGGAATTAACAGTAAAGTAGATGAAGCAGAGAATCAAATCAGGGATTTGGAAGACAAGGAGTAGAAAACACCCACTCAGAACAGCAAAAAGAAAAAAGAATCCAAAAAACGAAGACACTGTATGAAGCCTCTGGGACAATTTCAAGTGTACCAATATTAACATCATAGGGGTGACAGAAGGAGAAGAGAGAGAGCAAGAAATTGAAAACCTATTTGAAAAAATAATGAAAAAATTCCCTAACCTGGTGAAGGAAAGAGACATACAAGTCAAGATGAATAGTACTTTACACAGAGCCCATCACACAGCACAAGAACTCCACAAATGTTTACGGGCTATCTTTATAAACAACTTCAAATCTGAGTCTAGGCTGAGTGAATCAAATATATATGTGTCTTACACACACACGCACACACCCCCCCCCACAGCTATTTGTTCTAAGATGAGCCTAAATAAAATACTGCCAACAAAGTATTTAGGTTATAAGCACATTTCTTAAAATATGACCAGTAGAATAAATATAAAAAAGAACATTCACTTCATCAAAACAAACATGAAAATTAAAACAGGAAGTCTTTTCATCCATCAAATTAGCAAAGATTTTAGAATTATAATGGTGTCAGGATTGTGAGTGAAAGGCAGGTATTCTCATCTGTAGTAGTTGTTGATACAACATTTCTGAGAAACACTTGGGAGTATGTATCAAAAGTCTTAAAATATCTCTGTCATTTACAGTCTTACATATCTTTAGCAAAGTTACTTTCCTAGTATCAAAAAAACAACAGCCTGGAAACATCCTTAATATCCATCAAGATGAGAGTTAAGTAAATTATAGTGTATCATGGAAGCAGAGCATGGGTAGCTATAAAAAGATTTCTGAAAACATGGCAGGGGGAGGGATCAGGATGTACAGGTATATAAGCTTTATGAGTCTATTTACAGTTTTTCTTTAAGAGAGGTAACCAAAATACATAGGAAAAATTAAAGGAACCAGAAAATTCACTAGACTAAACCAACAGTTTATTTCTAGGTTGTGGGATTCTAGATTTTTTTTCTCTCTCTATAACTTCCTATATTGTATAAGGTACTCTACAGTGACATGTATTACTTTTTTAAGTCAGAAAAAAAATTGTAAATCTTACTTTGTCAAAATATGGCTGACAGGAACAGCCTCATTCCTGGTTCAGTCCACTAAAAATAATGTTGCTAATGAGAATGCCATGATCATCAAACTGCAGTCAATCCAAATGCAACAAATCACACTCTGAAATAATTTCATGATCTTAAAAAAAGGCAATTTCCTACCTAAATTATATGACTTAGGCCCTAACACCTGGGTGTGCCACTAGGGTTCAAAGCCTTCCCAAATATCAGTGAAGACTGATGAGGTCTTGGTGCTATGCCAGTCTCCTGCTTGATAAAAGGCTTCTCAAAATTCTAAAATTTCCGTAGGAATTCTAGACACCGTTTTGAAAGTGAGAGTTGTGAAATGCCTTGACAGTTGTCACTGTTAGCCCTTTCCTTCCCCTTTTTGGCTTTTCAAACAAAAATTGAGAACGGCTTTGAAATCACAAAGCATTTCCAGAGAGCCATCCATAGAGAAAAGCCCTTAATATATATATCCAGTCATCTCTCTTTCCATTTTTATATAATCAGTTTAGATACATATGCCTTACACTTCCGAGTAAAAGTAAAATTTATGAAACATATGACAGGCCAATCCTCTATAATATTTTACTAATTTTCATTTTTTTTAAAGGTTGCCGAATGAAATAAATAAATGAAATCAGCATTATTTACTCCTTGCCTTGCATAAATGTTAACTGGCCTTCAATGACTGACTATTTCAGTGCACTATGGGGGGTAAGACCTAAATCTTACATGTTAAAAGTTTAAAAGTTTAGACCAGCAGCTTAAAACTTCACTAATTTAGTAAATTTCCTTTACCAAATCGATGTGGAAATACAGTTGACCTTTAAATAACACAGGGGTTCAGAAAGCTGATACCCCCACCCCACGTAATCAAAAATCCACATATGACTTTAAACTCCCCAAAAACTTAACCACTAATAGCCTACTGTTGATGAGAAGCCTTACCTATAAAATGAACACATATTTTGTATGTTACATGTATTATAGACTGTTTTCTTACAACAAAGTAAGCTAGAATACAAAAAATGTTATTAAGAAAGCCATAAGGAATGCATGTACAGTATTTCCTGAAAAAAAAAAAATCCATACACGATAAATGGACCCGCACAGTCTAACCCTGTGCTGTTTAGGGTCAACTGTAAGGTTGAGTATAGTCATTAACCAGAATGCACAGCTTTCTTACTTAGCAGTAACAATTCTACATTGTTGATGCTACATCTGATGGAGCACCAAGATCTGCCCTGAGAAGTCTGGTCACAAAGTTATCACAGCAAAACATGATCAAAGCACACAAGCCTCCTCTGGCTGCCTCCTGAGAGGCTGTAGACTTGCACAGTGAGGATGGTGAACACAGCTTTCCAAGGATGAACACATGTATACAGAGATGTTCAAACTGGGAAAATAAAGGAAGGGAAGTCCCAGCACTCAGAAGTGCAAAATCCTATCTGAACACTGTAATGTAGTCTGTGACCATCTTCTCACCAAAAAGAATGTGTGTGTAAATGTTCTGTGAACATGAACATCAGCATGAGTTTTAGGTATGTTGTTATTAGGAGTTCCATTATTCATCCTTTTAAAAAAAATACTCCTTAGAAACTGCAGCAAATTACGGGGACTTCATAATATACACTTCGTGGAGAATATTAATATTAAGACTGTATCTTATTTATAACATTATCACACTTCCTGATAACAATTTAAATAGAATGTTTCACTAATATTGCCTCCTGGAAATAACAATTGCATCACTAAGACATAAAAGAAAATAGAATTAAGTACTTACTCACTATACCAAACTGTCCCCAGAACAGAAGTACAGCCAACATTGGGAAAATGACAATAAGGATATTTTCATTTGGAGAAAACCATGAAACTGGGAAGAAAAAAACACACACAAAAATCACAATTAATATTTACTATAATAACTTTCAGTCCTGCCAATGAATGGTCAACAATATATTTTATTATGGAGATGGAAAACAAAAATAATTAAAACTGTGGCCTTAATCAATATATAAATAATTACACATATAACTTACTTATATAACAAATATTTATGAAACAAAAAAACTAGTTATTTGTTTTCCATCACATTCTCCATAGCCTGTGATTTATGGAAGGAGGTATATATGCCCAGGAGCTGAGAACAAGGCTTCACAGCCACACTCCCTGGGTTTGAAACTCAATTCTAACAATCTTTGTGACCTTGGACAGTCTAACACCTCTCTATTCTTCCATTGTTACACCCTTATGAGTACCTACACCTTGAAGGACTGTTGTGACTGTTAACAAAGTCTAGGAATGGAAAAGGCGTAAAACAAAGCTTGGCACTTGAAGTGCTCGGTAATCATTAACTACAATTATTATCAAGTGCTCCTGTCTCTGGTGAATACCGGCAAGTGTAACGTGCCAAGAATTTACCTTAAAGCAAGAGTTAATTTCCTGTAAAGACTGACTCAGGGGAGAAGTGAGAATGGTGTACCCTCCCCTTACTGTGTCTTAAGACCAAGACAGATGGGAGCTCCAGCTTTGGAAGGGAAGATGTATTAGCAAATAATTAAGCTAAAAAATGACGGCTTCCATAAAAAGTAACATGAGGAGCTTTAGGTAGTAAGGAAGCTCCTATTAAGTGGGTCACTTGTTACTTAAACAGTGAAAATGCTGCCACCCATTCTACAGAAAGGGAGTTGTGATATTAAGACTTCAAATGAAATTTGTCGAGAATTTTTAAAAATTAAGTCTAACTGCATCTGATCAACGCTTAAGACCTTATTTTTATCTATGAGATTCCTCCTGTAACAATAAAGCCAAATAAATGCACTGAAAGCATTTCAGAGTTTGTCTGTATGCGAGGACTAGCGGGGTAAGGAACACTTTGGAATCCTGCACAAGGCAAGCAGTGGTGTGGCTCTGAAATCAACCTTTCCAAGTCCTCCACTGTATCAGCATGTGAGGAACCCTGTGGGCTTTCAAACCATAATGCTAGCCACGCATTGCTTGTGTTAAGCTTATAATGTTAAAATCTGGTAAATGTTGCATTATTTGTTTTGTTTTGTTTTGTTTTACCAATTGAAGGCCAAACCCTCCACCAGCAAAAAGATTACAATTTGCTTTACTGCAATATTTGTTTTATTGTGGTGGTCTGGAACCAAACCTACAATGTCTTTGAGGTAAGCCTGTACATGGTAAGCCTCCACAAACACAGGGAACATAATTTCCACAAAAGAAGATCGCAATAAAATTTACACTAAAATTCAAGCCGAATTTTTGCTTGATGTTTAAGGATTGTGATGGCGATAGCCTGTTATTTGATCAAATCCAGAATTCTAAGGTGGTTCCCCGAATCCCTGGCCCCTACAGTCAGCCTTTTATAATTTCTTCCCCTTGGAGGAGAGGTGGGGCTGTGAATAGGATGAATTTCATTTCTGTGATTATTGTGTCATATGGCAAAAGGGATTTTGCTGACGTAATTTAGGTCTTCAATCAGCTGACTTTAAGAAAAGGGACAGTCCTTGGGAGAGGGCTGACCTAATCAAGTGAGCCCTTAAAAGGGTCTGTGCTCAAGAAATCCTATGTGAGAGGGGTTCAACAAGAGAACCGTTTTCCTTGCTGGTTTTAAGTATGGAAGAGTCTGTAGGGCAAGGAATAGAGGCAACCTCTAGGATCTGAGAAAAGCTCTTAGCAGACATCCAGCATAGAACAGGGACCTCAGTCCTACAACCACAAGGAACTGAATTCTGCCACAATCAGGTGAGCTTGGAACAGGACTCCAAACTCCATATGAGAATACAGCTTGGTCAACACCTTGATTTTAGAACCCAGTCATGCCATGACCAAAATTGTGACCGACAAACCTGTAAGCTAATAAACGGGTGTTGTTTGAACCTATGATACTTGTGGTTATTTGTTATATGGCACTAGAAAACTAATACAAGAATCTTGCAATGCCTTCATGTCAACATTATGAACATAATGTATATTATGTTGACAATGATGGGAGAAACAACTTTGCTGAACTTGAACTGACCTTTTAAAACAAAATCCTAATAGCTTACTCAGAAAAAGGTAAAATCTTAAGCTTCCAAGTTTTTGTATAATTAATAATATAAATATAGAATTAATAACATTTTATAACTGTTATTTACATTTAGCATCTGGCTGTTTATAAGGTGTTTTAACAGAAACTATATACCATGGGGATAAAAAGAAAACACTGGGTTTTGAAGACAGATCTAGACTTAAATCCTGGCTATGGCTCTTACTTTGAACAAGTACCCTAAATCTCTCTTCTGTTAAGTGGTAAGACCTATATCTATCTCCTAGAGTTCCTGAGCTCATAGGACTCAATATAAAGTATCTGGCACATGCTCAAATAAATGTTATTTTACTGCTCTTATGTGTACTGTTATCACTTCATTGAAAGCAGGGATCAATGTCTTAGTCACCACTAAATCCAAAGTGCCTAATACAGTGCCTAGCACATAGTAGACCCTCAATAAATCTTTTTAAAGTAAGAGAGAGATTACATATTTACATCTCAAACAATCCTGTGATGATGATGGTATCCTCATTTCACAGATAAAAACTGAGGGCCAGATAGGTTGAGTTTCTTATCTAAGTTTTCTTAAATTAAAAAATTGTGAAGTACAGAAAAAAGCTTTCTAAATTCAAGTTCTGTGCCCCTTCCATAGTATTATAGTCTACACAGGCACCAGAGGGATATAAAACTATATCTCAGTGATGATTTTTCCACATATTCAGTCCTTGTGCTCCTCAAAAGGGAACAAAGAATGGCCACCATTAATCCACATCCTACCAAGTGGAATTCTCTATTAAGTAATTTCTAGTCCTCATATGCCTATATTTGCAAAAAAAAAAAAAGCACAGCATAGTAAAAATGGGATAGTCTGGCAGTTTCTTTTAAAACTAAGCCTATACTACATACAACCCAGTAATCGTACTTCTGAGCATTTATCCAGAGAAATGAAGACTTTGTCCACATAAAAACCTGCACACGATTGTCTGTAGCAGTTTCATTTGCAACAGCCAAAAACAACTGGAAACAGCCAAGATGCCCTATAGTAGGTGGATGGTTCAACAAGCTGTGATACCCCCAGACCATGGACTGTTACTCAGTGGGAGAGAGGTAGGGCAGGGGAGAAGTACTGACACATGATGCTGCAGCATGGATAGATCTCAAGGGCATTGTGCTGAGTGGGGGGAAAAAAAGTCAATCTCAAAAGGTTAACTTTTACATAACATTTTTGAAATGACAAAAGTATCGATATGGAGAACAAATTGTGCTTGCCAGGTTAGGGAGAGTAAGGGGGGGTGACTATAAAGGGGTTGCATGGGGGAGATATTTGTGTTAATGAAATAGTTCTATATCCTGATTTTGATGGTGATTACATAAATGTACACATGTGATAAAAAAACAAAGAAATATATACACATTGTACCATTGTGAACTGGCTGGTTTTGACATTTAACTACTGTTACATAAAATTAATCACTGGGGGGAGCTGCACTGGGTAAGAACAGCACCTCTCTGTTCTATCTTTGAAACTCCCTATGATTCTATAATTATTTCAAAAAAATAAAAATGGGTGCAAAGACGAATGTCTAACTCTGGTAGAATTTTCTACATTCTCTACAACAAAATACCATCTTCTCATTTTAATGGCCCCAAAAAGTAAGCATAGCTCATTTTTTGGGGGGTACTTTGATAACAAAGATAAAACAATCACACATAAAATTATAGACTTTGGCCCTGGCCAGTGTTCTCAGTGGTTACAGCATCATTCAGTGCACCAGAGGGTCACAGGTTCGATTCTCGGTCGAGGGCATGTACCTAGATTGCAGGTTCGATCCCGGGCCCCCGGTCAGGGACCTGTGGGAGGCCGCCAATTAATGTGTCTCTGTCATATCAGTGTTTCTCCTTTCTCTCTCTCTCCTCCCCCCGCTTCTTTCCTTCCATTCTCTCTAAGAAATCAATGGAAGAAGTATCCTCGAGTGAGGATTTACCAAAAAAATTGTATACTTGGTATTTATCCCAGATACTGGCATTCCTTTCCCGTCCATCTTCATTCCATCTTCTGGCCTTTCAAGCCTCTTGAGTGTACCATTTTCCCTCTCAGTGACCTACACTATACTCCAAAATTACTAATCCCCCATGTCTTTTTCTTCTTCATTTCCATGGAACTGTACATTCCCTCAGAAAAATTTCAACTGGGTATTAGGTTATCTCATTCTAGTCACTCACAGTGCATGTGACTGAATGATTAGACCCCTGCTGAAACGTATACTTAAAAAAAAAGCTCAGGGGCCCAATTTAATATCAAATTAATGAAATTCACAACGTAGGAGAGATTTTTCAGCAGAAATGCCTTCCATATTCTGCTGGGCTGCTCTAAGCCATCTCCGCCCATGCTGCACTGCCCTGACACTCTTCTGCTAACATCCCAGCTTCAACACCCCGATACCTCACTGGATAAAATGAACAGCCCAGGAAGACAACTAACATTTGCAAAGTACTTTGGTTTACAAAGGACTTGTACACAAAGGATCTCATTTGGTGCTCATTCGACTGCAGAATACATAAAAGCAGGAATCTATTTTCATCCCCACTTTAGAGATGAGGTAACTCGGACTCACTGAAGTGACTTCTCAAGTTCAATAGAGGAAAAGTTAAGTTGCAGAATAGGGAATATACTCAGATCTCCTGATTCCTAACCCTAAGCAATGTCAAAATATTCCATCAAACTAAACACCCATTCCCAATCTGGTAATAGACATTTTATAACCAAAAAAAAAAAATTATAAACTTTGTCTAGGGAACACTAGAAGAATTGGAGGCAAAGAGTTGATTCAACTGAACTGATTCCTGATTCCATCTAAAGCAGAGGTTCTCAAAGGCTTGTCTAATCCTGCGATCAGTAATATGTCTAGTGGTTCTAAATAGAGCTTTCAAAAGAGAAAGTCAGCATGCACCTGTATGTGGTTAAAGCAATCAGCTGGCACAGCAAGGAACAGAAAAGAAAGCAGACTGTTTACTTCAGCTAACTTGACTGCTTTATGCAACTCACCAGCCCAAGTTTGTGAAGAAAGGGCAGAATCAGGGTGCTATAACCAAGGCTTAATTCAAATTAATTAAATTGGATCCCTAGCTCTCCCCCATCTTGGCCAAGAAAAAGAACAGTATAGCAAGACTAAGCACAGGACACCTCAAGGAAACATCACTAGAACCTGATTTTTAATCTCTTGACTCTCCTTCTAATCTTACCACCTGGAGCATGGCTGAGCTTGTCAGCCCTTGACCAAAGTGTAGGTAATATATATATATATTTTTTAAAGCTACATAACTGGAAGGAGCATGGAAAATTAATCACATGAAAGAAAGTACTTTTGATAGCAGCAAGCAGAAATGCAGAATAGATGACCCCAGGACCCCTCACTCATCCCAAAAGACTAGTTATCAGACCAAAAGTTTGAGAACCACACAATACACAACTAACAAACTACAAAAGAGTTGTATTATGAAAAGGAGAAGAGCAAATAAAACTCATGGTCTCAAAGCTGCTAAACATTACATAATCATTTATTATTAAGAGCCTACTTTTTGATTCAAAGGAGTTCCTAGCCCCATTGTGCCCCGTTTCTAATAAGATTAGGTTGCTGCAGGACAAAAAAGGGAATTCTATAGAATTCTTACCAACACGATATTTTAGTTCTATGGTGGTATCGCCTTCTCTGCTTAATTCTGTTACTTCACACGTGTAGTTTCCTGGGACAGCCTCCTTCGGATCCAACTTCAATGAGGCAATGCCATTTAGTAGTGCTTCTGGTACGATTTCTGCACTCGAAAAGTTGGTGTTGGTGTGGGTGATAATATTTGTCTCTCCTTCATAGACGAAAAATTGTTTTCCTCCATATTTCCACTTTACAAACATTTCTTTAAGGCTTAATGCCCCCACATTAATAACAACGCATGGGATGACCACAGTTGTATTGCAGTTGGTGTATTCTACAGATTTAGTTATGTTAAATATGAGCTGAGCTGAACCTGGAAAAGAAAAAAGTTTCATTTTATTATAGAATTCTATACCATAAGATCTTAGGTATGTTACAAATCCTTAAGATAAAAGAGCAATGTTTCAATTATTTACTTAAGCAGTCAGCTACAGAGAGAACACAGGCAAGGTGAAAAAGAGAAACAAATTATTTTAATATTAACATACGCAGATGGTAACTTTTCCTTATTCATTTTCAGTAATACAAAGTATACATTACCATGGCCGTGGGAATAAATTCAGCAACCTGTGTTGGAACATGCAGGTATAGTATCTGGCTTCAGAAGCTCTGAAGTAATCATTATTGCTCATTGATGTATGTAGAAGAATACTGTGCTTACCATGGGAAAGTTTTGAACAGAAAATCAAACCAAATATTATATTCAGTCTCAACTTCGATATACTTCCTCTAAATAGAACTTGCTAAACCGATATGTTTATCTTTATGTTGCATTTCCAAGAAATGTGGTGAGCTACAGTGTACTTTAATATAAAAAGTAAATCCGATGAATCACATCACATCTTTTCTCTAAGATGGAAAGTCTTAGAATACTAAGGAGAAAAAATATTCTCTGTGGCTATTTCCCCATTGCAAAATACAGACAGCAATAGACATTTTGTATGCAAATATTATAAAGAATTATATACAATTGAAAGGCATTTTCTCTACTTCCACATTCCATTGAAGCTATAGAACAATTTCCAAATGTATATTACAGGTATTCCATCCTCCTAGAAACCATAAACCACTCAAAGTAAAGCTAAGAAACAAGTTGAAACCAAGAACAGATACTGCCAATAAGTAGGGTATATTCTATCAAACACTTCTCAGTAGGATAAACTAACAGTTGTCTTACAAAACAGGAATTGGGAAAGTAAATGCAATCACTCATCTTTCATCTAAAATGTGCAAGACTGTGGAGAAATTGTAGTTGTCTTCCATATTTTTCAGCCATTTATCAACTTTTTAAAAAATTTCTTTATTGTTGAAAGTATTACAGATATCCCCTTTTCCCCCCATTGACCCCCTCCACCCCGCATCCACCCCTCACCCTTTAGGCCTTCACCACACTATATTGTCTGTGTCCATGGGTTATGCATACAAGCATGTAAGTTCTTTGATTAATCTCTCCCCACCCATTCCCCCACCCCCGCCTTCCCACTGAGATTCATCAGTCTGTTCCAATCTTCTATGTCTCTGGATCTATTTTGTTCCTCAGTCTATTTTGTTTATTAGATTCCACATATGAGTAAGATCATGTAAAAGTGAATCAGGAAAAATCAGAAAACCTGAATAGGCTAATAACAACTGATGAAATCGAAGCAACAATAAAAAAACCTCCCAGCAAGCACAAGCCCTGGTCTAGACAGCCTCACAAGGGAGTTTTCTAATTCTTTAAGTTGCAGGGTTAGATAGTTGACTGAAAATTTTTCTTGCTTTTTGAGATAGGCCTGCGGTGCTATGAACTTACCTCAGGACTGCTTTCGCTGTGTCCCATCGATTTGGGGTTGTTGTGTGTTCATTTTCATTTGTTTCCAGGAAGTTCTTGATTTCTTTCTTGATCTTATTGGTAACCCATTCATTGCTTAATAACATGTTATTTAGCCTCCATGTGTTTGAATGTTTTTGAGTGTTTTTACTGTAGTTGGTTTCTAATTTCATGCCCTTGTGATCTAAGATGCTTATGATTTCAATCTTCTTAAACTTGTAGAGACTTGTTCTGTGTCCTAACATGTAGTCTATCTTTCAGCATGATCCATGTGCACTTGAGAGGAATGTATATTCTGCAGCTTTGGGGTAAAATGTTCTGTAAATATCAATTAAATCCATCTGATCTAGTGTGCCATTTAGAGTCACTGTTTCAGTGTTGACTTTTTGTCTGAAAGGTCTATCCAGTGAAGTCAGTGGGGTGTTAAAATCTACAACTATGATTGTACTGCTGTTGATCTCTCCCTTAAAGTCCTTAAGGATATTGGTAGGTCCTTATTTATTGCCATTTTAATTCTTTATGTTTCTCTCTCTATTTCTTCTTATTATTACAGCAGTCCCCTAACATTTCTTGCAATGCTTCTATTTCTACTTCTAATTACAGCAGTCCCTTTAACATTTCCTGAAATGCTGGTTTGGTGATGATAAACTCCTTTAGCCTTTTTTTGTCTAAGCAGCTCGGTATTTCACCATCTATTTTGAATGATTGCCTTGCTGGATATAGCAGTCTTGGTTTCAGATCTTTGTTTTGCATTACCTTGAATACTTCATGCCATTCCCTTCTGGCCTGCAGAGTTTCTGATGAGAAGTCAGCTGACAATCTTATGGGCATTCCTTTTTAGGTAACAGGTTGCGTTTCTCTTGCTGCCTTTAAGATTCTCTCATTGTCTTGAATTTTTGGCGTTTTAATTATGATGTGTCTGGGCGTGGGCCTCTTTGGGTTCTACTTGCTTGGAATTCTCTGTGCTTCTTGAACTTGTGTGACTTTTTCCTTCACCAGGTTAGAAAAGTTTTCTGCCATTATTCTTCAAACAGGTTATCTGACCTTTGCTTACTTTTTACCTCTTCTGACACTCTTATGATGCGAATATTGTTATGTTTCACGTTGTCCCACAGCTCCCTTAGACTGTCCTGTTTTTCAACTATTTTTTTCCTTTTGGATCTCTGAATGGCTTTTTCTACCCTGTCTTCTAATTCGCTGATCCGATCCTCAGCTTCCTCTAATCTGCTGTTTATTCCTTCCAACGTATTCTCTATTTCTGCTATGTCATTCTTCGCTTCTGACTGTTCATTCATAGTTTCCATATCTATTTTCATGCTGTTGCGTATCCTTACAATCAATGTTCTGAACTCTATATCTGATAGACTGCTTATATCCATTTCATTTAGCTCTTTTTCTGGAGACTTCTCTTGTTCATTTGGGGCTTGCTTTTTTGTCTCCCCATTTTGGCTGCCTATTTGGGTTTGTTTCTATGCATTAGGTAGGGCTTCCAGTCTTTCTGGAAGGTCTCTGGTGCAGGCCAATTTCAGACACTGTTTGTGACTGGCCTTGAGTGCCCCGTTTGAAGCTATCAACAACCACAGCTTGAGGTCCCCTATGTAGAGGTTGGGTGCATTTGGACAGGGCCCACTTATCAACTCTTTTATCTAAGTAGCTAGTTGGCTTTTCCCTGAAAAAAGAAAGCACTATATAAATATAAGTAAAATGTCAACTTTAATAGTTCATCCTTATGATTTCTTCCTTCTATATACACTGGGAATAAAAATCAAAGGCATAGAATGCTATTATTCTAGGGACATATTATTCAGTAGCTGCCCATTGAATTGAATGCTAGGATGTGTAGTGAAATATGAACAGGACAATGTTCAGAAAGCCTGAGTATAAACCCTGTTACTTTTCAGTACATGACCTCAAGCAATCCACTTAACTTTTCTATGCCTTGGTTTACTCTCTGTAAATAAGAGGATCAAAAATGAACACTGGAGCTGGGCCAGCATGGCTTAGCGGTTGAGCATCAACCTAGGATCCAGGAGATCGTGGTTTGATTCCCGGTCAGGGCACATGCCCAGGTTGCAGGCTTGATCCCCAGTGGGGTGCATGCAGGAGGCAGCTGATCAATGACTCTCTCATCATTGATGTTTCTATCTCTCCCTCTCCCGCTCCCTTCCTCTCTCAGAAGTCAGTAAAGATATATTTTTAAAAAACCAAAACACTAGAGCCCCAGCCAGTTTTGCTCAGTGGTTAGAGCATCAGCCCTCGGACTGAAGGGTCTTGGGTTCAATTCTGGTCAAGGGCATGTACCAGAGGTAACCAATCAATGTGTCTCTCTCACATCAATATGTCTCTCTCTCTCCCTTCCACTCTCTCTGAAAAGCAATGGAAAAAATATCCTCGGTTGAGGATTAAAAAACAAAACAAAAAAAGGACACAGGACTACTTCACAGAATTGTGGTGATTATCAAAGGAGAAAATATATGGGCAAGTGCCCTCTAAACAATACTGTGCTATAAATATGCAGGATAATACTCTAAAAACTAGGCAAAACAGCATTTTTGTGTAATGATCTAGACCTTCTCTAACTGGAAGGTGCAAATTGTTATATTTCTGGGAATTTTCTGCTTGAACCAAGTTTGTGGGCATTCACAGCTCACTTCTTCCCAGTTCTCTACATTTCTAGCCATCCAAATATTAGGAAGCCCCAGGCAAAACCTGGACTTCCAATTGCAATTTTTAAAACCTTGGGGCTCTAAATTATTTCCCCTGAGAAAGAAGCATTGAGAGGAACGCTGTAGTGTAAAACAAGGAGAGAAGAAAGTGGCTGTGATGTTGGAATTAGAAAAGAAGGAAAGTGTCAGAAAATATGGGGACTAACTTTGAAAAGGATTACTGAGTGTCCTTTCAATGGAGCTCTGGGCATTGTCTGACAGATCCTTTGGGAATATCCGATTCTATAGGGGCCTGTGCCTCTCACTGTATTTGACTGAGCTATTTTACAATTCTGTAAGATGTAGAAAACTGATACTAATGCAAATGATTCATGTCCACAGAGATAGAAATAAACTTTGTTCTGCAATTTATTTCCGCCTGGTAGAAGAGAGGATTTAAAAAAAACTACATTTATCGCCCTAAGGACGTTGACCAATTTGCATATATTCACAAATTCATTTTAGCATTCCTGATTGCCTATACACGTGTCTGATCTTCCAATTGTTTTTAAAAACCAAGACGGTCTTACCATCTTGCTAGTTTGCGTATTAATGCGTGAAATAAAATCTTTGACACATGTTCATTTTATATTTGTTTGAGTCAGGATATTACTTTCTAAAAATTGTCTTTTAATAAAAGAGATATGAGTGAAGAGCTCAGTTATCCTAGTGAACTTTTTTAGAATGCTCTAGGTAAGTAAAAAGTGGTCGGCAAACACTCTGCAATTCCATAACTTATGCTTAAAGAATAAATTTCCTGCGGAATACAGGAAGTATTAATTGCACTGCATTATTTGTTGTAATATAAAAAATATCTTATAACTGAATTAATTTAAATAGAATTAATGCTGTCAATAAAATTCAAGTAAAATTAACCTGGATAAACCATAACTTGAACAACCCTTGCACTAATAATAAATAAGGGTAGTCCAAAAATGCCAGCTGTTAACCAACCACAACTTTATCTTCTATAAACACTT